CTTAGATGGGAACTCCACCTTGCGGGCATTAATTATAGTGTCCTCCCGAAGAATTCTCTCTTGAGTCTGGTCATGCCCAAATGGTCGCCTACCAAAAAGCATTTGGTACAACATCACACCAGCAGACCAGACATCAACCTGTGTGTATCAGGTCAAAGCACAGAAGTTAAAACTTTACAGCCGAGGAAAAATAAATAGTGTAATGCTCAGTCAAAGAAAATAATCAGAACATTGATGATTGCTTTAGTTAGAGTAATATGGAAAATAGAACTTCCTCGCTAGCAGTCAAGAAGAACTAATCGCAGTCCGCATGTGTTAGTTTTTGGCAATTCTAACTGCATGAACTCCTGTAAAAGTTAAGATTATAAAACAGGTTTTTTATGACGCATTTTTTTCAGAATTTTTTTTTTGTAAAAGCAATAATTTCCTTTTTATTTTCAACATCTGATTTTTGCAAATTGGCAGCAATCATTGTAAAGAATCCGAATTAACCGCACAAATGTTGACGAAAAAAGAAAAAGTCTGATGAAGATGTATTGTATTTAGATTGGAAGATCTGCTAGAATATGCATAGCTGTTATTGAGAAACAAAAAACTACTCTGGAAAGTTTGAATGATGCGAAAGAAAGTTACACATAATTCCTCAGGAGATTTTTGTTTACATCTAAGTACCAAATATGACAGAAGTGTTTATAGAAACCCAAATAAGAAACCCGTTTCCACTGTCATTAATTTCTATCCCCTATGGGCCTTCGTCTAATTAGCTATGAGTAAATTTCTCTCCGTCGCACCATATTAATGCACAAAGGACGCCAAAATCCTGTATAAATACGAAATCTAATCAAAGTTTAATCTGTTCATCAACCACTATTTGCCTGGTGTATCTTGAGCCTAGTCCAAATTAAGATTGGCAAGATTAAAATATCTTCCTCGCGTACAATGATCTAGAGGGTAAATTAACTCGAAACTTTTACTCTAACGTCGGTAAAGTACTTGAAATTATTGCGACAAATTTCAACGGACACCTTATAGATGATATTGAATGGGTGATTTTTGAGCATTACAACCTCAGATTCCCGTTGTTGGCAGATACCTGACAGGACAAGACAGATGTATTTCAGTAACCCTAGAAGAGTGGGTCGAAATGCTTATGATTCTAGGAATAAAAATATTAAGAACAAACGCATTAATGGAATTTTTTTGTAGAATTTCAAGTTTCTTTGTTCCCTTCCCTCGTGTCTATAGATAAAAGAACTACCAATAAACTATAGAGCAATAAAGAATTTGAAAGGGGAATACACAGTGGTAAAAGAACACGAACATAATATTAATTATTAAATTTCCATGCAATAGCCAACATGTATCAGCAAAATATGTTTAACTTAAGGATTGAACATAAAAGAAAGAAAATCTGTATTTTAATCACATGAAGAAAAACAACTAGCCCCAAAGCACATTGAGCAAACCTTCCAATCTAAGCATATTGAAGCCTTGCCTTGTTATAAAAGAATGAAACTTCCGCTTAATTTATACTTTCGGTAGGTTCTGTCACTTTGTTAATATCTAAACCAGCTCAAAAAAATTCAATTCCCAGAACAAAGTTGACACAGTCACATATGCTTTAAGAATGCTAATTTCTAAATATATCTACCCAAAAAGTCTCTCTGTGAGTAGAAGATACAGGAAAAATGCATATTAAGCTTCATTTGTCTTTTCCAAGTCACATACGAAGTCGGTGGCTACAGTAATGTCATTAGTGAAGTATACCGGAATTATTAAAGATTTGCATTGATTCAATATCAATGTTCCCTGCCCACTTCAAAGTTCGTTCTATCAGAAATAAGTGAGAAAAAAGAAAGAAGAGGCAGAGCGGAGACAGAATGATCTTGAAAGAAGACAGAGAAGAAGAAATATTATGTTATTGATATCATAATGTGAGGTACAAGAGTGCTATAAATAGAAAAGCTAATACAAGAAATGTAACAGAAAAGACACGTGTAGAAGGCTTATTGGAAGGTTCTAACCGGTCCCCGCAAATTAATCATTCTTTTGTCGAATGGTTAATTTGTTCCGAAGAGTGTAGAATCGTGTTGAGGTAAAAGCCTTGGTGAGAATGTCCGCCACTTGATCGGATGAGCTGATGTGTGAGAGAGTAATGTCACCGTTGTCTATTTGCTGCCGAATGAAGTGGAAATCAATTTCTATGTGCTTGGTGCGAGCGTGGAAGACGATATTGTTGGCGAGGGCGATGACGGATGTGTTGTCACAGTGTATGGTTGTAGGAGTTGTTTGTGGTTCTTGGAAATCCGCAAGAAGTCGGCGAAGCCAAATAACATCGGAGGTGGCGGAGGCTAATGATCGATATTCTGCTTCTGTAGACGACTTGACAACCGTCGGTAGCTTCTTGATGGTCCAAGATATGAGATTGCTGCCGAGAAATGTGCAGAAGCCGGAAATTGATTTGCGGTCTAGGGGATTGGATGCCCAATCGGCATCAACAAATGTTGTAAGGTTGAGATTTCCTGTTGTAAGCGGTAGACCGAACTGAACGGTTCCTTTGATATATCGAAGCACTAGGTTGAGAGATATGAAATCTTGTTGTGTCGACGCATGCATGTGTTAACAGATTGAGTTTGTGGCGAAGGCAATGTCTGGTCGGGTTATCGTAAGATATTGAAGAGATCCGGCGAGCTTACGGTACAGTTGATGATCATCATACAGTTGATCAGTCGGCTGCTTATAGGTGGATTTTGGAACCATAGGTGTGCTTGCGGGTTTGCACTCTGAGAAGCCGGCAGATTGAATAAGATTTGTGGCATAGTGTTGTTGAGAAAGGAATAAACCCGAAGACGTTTTTAGAACTTGAATGCCAAGGAACAACGAGACGTCCCCGAGCTGCTTCATGCGGAAGTTGGAGTGTAGTTGGGCTAACAGATTTGCGATGGACGGTTGATTGTTTCCTGTAAGCAGGATATCATCGACGTAAATTAGTACATATAGTTGAATGTGTTTGCGATGATAGAGTAAAAGAGAGGGATCAGAACGACTAAACCAGAATCCAAAGGCTTGAAGAAATGTGGTAAGCTTTTGAAACCAAAGTCGCGGAGCCTATTTGAGTCCGTAGATCGATTTGTGTAATTTGCAGACAAAGTTGGCGTGTTGTTTATCGGAGAAGCCTGGAGGTTGCTTCATGTAGACGTCGTTCGGTAATTCAAAGCTATTGTGAGAATTGTCTGGATGGTGGTGATTTTTGCGACGGGGCTAAAAGTTTCAGTGTAATTGACCCCATACTGCTGTGTAAAGCCTTGAGCTACAAGACGCGCTTTGTATCGGTCAACCAAGCGGTCCAAGCCATTGAGAAGTAGTTTTGTTTTGTAAGTCCATTTGCAACCGAGGACCGGTTTGTCGCTGGGGTAAGGAACGAGGGACCACGTTCCTTGTTGTTGAAGAGCCGTGAGTTGGTCTGTCATTGCGGTCCGCCAATGTTAATGTTAATGTTGGTTTGCTTGATTATAGGTTGTAGGATTTTTAGCTGAGTCTATGGTAGCTATGAGATTGAGTAGTTTCCTTGGTTTAGAGATGCCTGACTTAAGTCTTGTTTGCATGGGATGAGAGGGGGGAATGGAGTTGATAGCAGAAGCGTTGGACGGTGCAGGGAATGGGGAGGTAATGATTGTGTTTGTGACTGTGGGCTCCGAAAATTCGGCCTCGGCCTCCACT